GAGAAATAAAAGTTATGTAATACAAGGTTACCCACAAAGGATGAGAGTGTAAAGACGACCTGAAGCTCTCCAAATATGACAATTTCTTAATAAATAAAAATGATAAATAAAATCTTCCGCCTTGAATATATATTTTATATGGTTTATTTAATGATTTGGCAAAGAGCAAAACATGTTTACAATGGCAGGGGGATATAAATATAAGGAAACAGAGAGTATAGATTTCGTAGAGTCATCCTTTGTGGATCCCCCTGTATATATATATGGATTGTGAACTGTTTAGAGTGGATACGGACTGGAAGTAGATACAGAAATCAAGATGCTCAAGGTTCTAGAATTGGCAAGGTAGAAATATGAAGCAAATAATAATCATTTGTTATTCCCTATATCTTTACAACCTGATGGTGCAACCTTTGAAATGTCAAACTTTGATATAACGGGTATTTCAAACTTTAATACAACGGAATTCATAATCTGAAATAGCTAAAGACCACGACAATGGGTTGCAAAGATGTAGGAATTTAAAAATCAGAGCTTGTGACAAATACTCAATTTTTTATAGTTTATATAATTTTTGTAAAATATGCAGGCGTGAGGTTCCTATTGAGATCTCCAGTACGTTTTGTGGGGCGCACTCTGTACCTAAAGGAAAATCAGCGGCAGAGGTTTGGAAATTTACACCGTCACAAATTCTAACTTTTCAAACCTCAAATCTTTGAAACCAATAATATTTAACACTTAGAATGAAATATCAAAGATTTACAATGTTAGGTTGCACAGGTTGAACAAATATAGGGATAAGAAAATTAGAAGTTTGTTGCGAATAGTCAGTTTCTTTAAGTAAGTCACATTCAGATTAAAGAAGCCATAAAAATAATCAAAGTTAAGAAAAAAAATGTCATGAAAAATTTAAATATTTCTTTCCTTCCCGTTCAGAAGTTCCGAAAACTTTACATCCTTGCAAATTACTCAGGAAGAATTTTATTATTTTTATAGATTTTTTAAACATCTGGTTTCACAAATTATGAAAGCATTTTTCAAAAACTGTTGAGACTCGGCCGCCATGGATTTGTCTCAGGTTTGACCTTCCCAGCCGAAAATATTTTTCTGTAGCCTTGTATAGGAAGATTCTAAAAATTTCTATATATTTCCAGCTGTAGTTTGGATAAATACATGTAAATAGTTGTACACATAAAACGGATAAAACTATTCATAAAACCCATATTTTCAGAAAAACATTTCTAAATGCATCAATTCATCATTATTTGTATAATTTTAATTTTAGGCAACTGCTGATGTAGTGGAGAATCAACTAAAAGCAGTTCTATCAGCCAACAAGAGGAATTCAAATTTAGAATTTAAAAGAGTTGAATTCAGTCTACAGTGTATACAGTGTATACACAGCAAGATTAAAAGGTTTCTATTTAGATTGCAAAAGCTCTGAAGGGTTGGACAACTTAAAAAGAATTTTAAAAATTTAATTATTACTTTTAGGATTATTTTAATCATTAGGTTAAATGTTCAAGTTTAAGTCTGAGTAAATTTTTTTATTTTTTTATTTAATAAATATTTGTCCAAGAGACGTTATTTACAATAAAACGTTGAAAAAGAGTAAAATTGACTTTTCCTAATGGAAAGCCTTATTCTAAAAATTTTTTCCTATTTTCTGGAAAACTTATTTAAATTCAACCATTTATAAATATTTTTTAATTAAATTACCTTTTCTTATGTTTTATAACGTGATGATACCAATTATATTTATAAGATTCTAGTGGAATATTAATTGTATTATATTTTTAGTTTTTAACAAATATGCATAGTACATATGATTACCCACAAAGGATGAGACTTCAGAGATTACTGTCCGGAATTTATAATGCCTGTTTCATTTATTTATGATTCCCACAACGTAAACGTGTTTCTTTCTTCGACAAATCATTGATTAAACCATTAAACATTAAATTTAACAAGCCGTCAAAATTTGAATTCTGGTGAATAAAGTGGTGAACTAAATGTTGAGAATATTGACGTGTTCTGTGAGAAAGGGGTTTTTGAAATAGAAGATTCCAGAACTATTATGATGGCTGGCCAAAGAGAGGGGCTCAGGTATTATAATTGAAGGAAGTTTAGATTTTGGGACGAACTGAAACTTTCTAATATTTGCAACCTGATGGCGTAAATCTTTGATATATCATACTAAAATTATTTGACTTAAAGAATTTATAGTTTTAAATGTCTAAGGTCTACGACATTGGTTTGCACAGATATATGAATTGACCAGTCAGAGTTTGTGGATAATGTTTACCAATATCCACACTGAACGTAGACATTAAGGGGATTTCTCGTGAAAAATGAAAGAGTAAAGAATTAATTTGAAATAAATGCGGCAGCAATTCAGTGTCCAAGGAAGACTTGTCGAAGGGGAAGGAACTGTTGAAACACGGAATATATATAAGATACAAAAGTTGTCTCTCTCTGTACAGAAAGAATTGTCTTAAAGAGACATCGGAAAAATTCTTTAGTAAATTTTGAACAAATTATTTAGTAAAATTGTAAATCAAAAATTGACATCATTAAAACATATATTTTTCAGGTTAAACTTTCATGGTGATGAGTTGTATCCCCTGGGTGGAGCCGAACTTGGAGCTAAACTTGGAGCTCAAGCCATCTCCCATCTAGAGGAGGTTGAGTTTAAAGGGACTGAACGCGTAAATTGACCCTCCATACTAAGATGGAATCCAGATTCACAACGGTACCATTAAGGGCCTTAAAAGCGATGTCTGAATAATTATAAATAAGATATCAATGTTTATGATTTTGTGAACTGACTGTGTTCAATTGTGGTTTCTCTACAAAAGTTACTTGCGCATTTCTACTGCAGGAAAATATAAAGGAATTGTATAAAAAAAATTTAAAACTTTAGAAAAGCGACAAATTCTTTAACATTATTGATCAGATAAAGGTTTCAAGGGTACTGTTGTCAATCTTTGTGATATAAATTTTTTTTTAATACTTAAATTTAAAACATGGATATAATTTTTAAAGTATTAAGTTGATTTAACTTTTTTAATTCTGTTCTGTTTTGATGTCGTAATTTTAAAAAAATAGTTTCTTAAAAAATCTTTATTTTTTCCGCTGAAAACTGAAATACTTTTATTATTGGGCTCAATTTCACATTTGAAATTGTAACGCAGATTGAGGCGGATTTCTATATTTTAGTTTATTTGATAGATTTCATCTTCTTTTCAACAGTATTAACAGTATTTTCTGGGATAAAATCTCTTTCAGATTTTTCAATTCAATCTGATGATTACATGGCTCCCCAATATCAAGATAAATATGTGAAGAAATTTGAACATAAACATATTCTACGTTTTTGGTTTAACTTAGATGTAACCCCGTTTTCAAACCATTGCATTTTTTACAGTAATTAAGATTTTAATTTTATTAATATTGAAAATAATATTTTTCTTACAGTCGTTGTCATATATATCAATACAATAAAGACGACTTTTGATTTCAATTTTGAGTTCTACCTGCTTTATAACAACATGGATAAACATAAATATAGAAACAAATAGAAGCTGTCGATTATCAGCTTCTCTTTTTTTTGTAAACTTATTATTTTGCAAAAAGCTTGTAAATTATAAAAGTCGCCTGTCTTGTATTTATATAAACGCCGACCAATATAGTTAATCTTATATCCAGCGCCAGATTAGGGGCAGATCAAATGTGGAACTCAAATTTGTCTACTGCAGGAATTATCATGATTAAAAACTTCTGAACCTAGAATAACGACAATATATTCAATATTATTGATCAGAATATCAGATACAGGTTTCAAGGGTACCGTTGTGAATCGGGCATTGTCATCACAATTACAGCCCCTTTAATACTTTCTGTTCCTAATCACTAATTATTTTAAAAAGATAATCAAAATAAATTTTGGAAAATTTCATCGAAAAAGAAAATAATTTTTGAGTTAAAGATGGATATTTTTTTAGATTAGCGATGAAGGTATCAAAGCCATGGCAGAATCAGGCAGTGTAGCCGTAATACTGCCTTCAACTGCATACATTCTTAGGTATTTTGTCAAAAACAAAAATTAATGATATTATGAAAAGACTTACAATAAATATGCTTAAGAAGATAATTTTTCGATAAATATAATATTATGATGAAAATTAAAGCAGTTAAGGAGAACAAGTAAAATAATTTTGAAAATATTAATGAAAGAAATTTCTAATTCTTTTTGATAATTCTTAGGCTGAAACCACCTCCAGTTAGAAAAATGATAGAGGTAAACATAATATTTTAGAGATAGTATCGTATAATAATATATAGAACATATTTTATATTTGTAAAAAGATTAAAAACACATTTACTGAATTGTATATATCTTCTATAAACCATTTTAATATATTTAATGGTTGAGTACTTTAAAATAAGGGAAATTATAGAACCTTATCTTCAATAATGCTAAAATGAACTACATATTATATAAAGGACATGAGTTTTTGCCACAAACTCTGCCTTTCCAACCCGTATATCTTTGGATTCCAATGTCGTAGACCTTAGATTTGTCAAACTATGAATTCTGTTAGATCAAACGATATAAGTTTGAAATATCAAAGATGTACGACCTTGGGTTGCAAAGGTATCGGGATTATAAATTCAGAGTTGGTGGCAAAGACTCAATTCCTTTGACATGGCTATTGATTAGATATATAGATATAATTTGTGCACAAATTATTCATCTCAACGATCTTTGCGCCCTACTCTATGTTTATTTTGTATAATTGTGTTAGACTTTACAATTTAAAAGTCTTTTCCCATTAAAAATTGTAAAGTAATTAGTGTATAATATTTCTACTATAGGACGGAGTTATTGTAGCTTTGGGAACAGATTTCAACCCTAATATATTTAAATAATAATATTTCTGTTATAGGACGTAGTTATTGTAGCTTATGGGAACAGATTTTAATCCTAATATATTTATATCATAATATTTCTGCTATAGGACGGAGTTATTGTAGCTTTGGGAACAGATTTCAACCCTAATGCTCATTGTCTCTCTATGCCGGTGATCATGCATCTAGGAAATTATTCTACATTTTTGCAGTGCCTTTCCCCTTTTTATATTTAAAGAGACAACCTTCCTTATAAATTTAAGTGACCTTTACTTTAAAAAAGTGGCATGTCTGATTCACAACTTTAATTTAATCAATTTTTAAAAAGAATTTGATGGAGATATTTTTTAATTTTTTATCAGACAAAGATTTTCAGGGTATTATTGAGAATTAGACCTGTCACTTGCAAGTTGTAATTACGTATAGAGCCCTTTTATACTTTTTATTAGGCTATAGTTTTTGAAACTAGTCCTTGTCTAAATTTCTCCTGGTTCACTGAACCTGGTCTGTGCAAAGAGAACGTGATAGCAATAAATAATTTTGCTTTTCCAGAATTTAAATTCTGCATTAGACCTTACACACTTTAAAAAAGAAGTTCCTTTGCCTTTCTCTCTAAAATGTAAAATGACGTGTTCCAGCCTGCGTTAATCTACGGTAATCTTTTTTATACTTTTATCAAGATTATATTGGTTTTCCTAGAATACGAGTTCCAGCGAACGAAAACTTTCGCGAACTTTTTGCGAAAATGAATTAAGCGAAAAAATACGAAAACTTGTGAAATTTTCTGCTCTGAGAGCTCTTCATGAACAATTTCATCATATCATAATGATTTCTCTTACGTGACCGTATTTTTTTCGCAAAATTTTCGCGTTTGTTTTTCCCTCATCTAAAATTTTAGGTAAATCGGTCAAGGAGCGTATGATTTATGATCTGACGTCCTAAGAGCCAAACAGAGATTATTACTATATATATATATATATAGTAGCTGAAGGGCCCGGCATTGTCCGTGGAAAAAAAATGTTGAAAAGAATCTAATTTTTTAGCCTATAACACCCCCCAGCCACCCATGAGTCTCCACAAAAAATGTCAGCCCAATCGGTCCAGTCGTTTTGCCGGCTATACGTTACATATATATATCCGAATTTCTTGTTTTCTATATAGATCTATAAATATATTGCAGTATGAGTATGAATGAGGCACTAGCTGCTGCTACCATCAATGCTGCTCATAGTATTGGTCGAGGAGCTACTCATGGATCTATTCAAGTTGGCAAGGTTAGAAAAACAAGCGAAAGTGCATTATGATATCGAAAAAAAAGACATTTCGTGAAGCCATATTTTAACTAAAATATTAGGCGCTTTGATCCTTTGTTTTTTACTGTTTACTGATTACACACTTGGCGTTTCTTGATAAACAAAAAACCAGCCTACAAACAAAACAAATAAAACAAATAATCTGAATTTTTAAAGGTTGGAGATTTATTGATTCTGAATGAGAAAAAATGGGAACATCTTGTTTATCAACTTGGAGACAATTCTGCAGTACAGTTTGTTGTTAAGAAGGGGAACATTGTGTACACTAAGATCTAAACAATATATTTGTTTATCTGTGTGAAGTTGATTTCCACAAAATAAAAATAAAAAATCAATTTTTTTTATTAGATCGCGACAAAAATGGAAAATTTGAAAAATAGGAGAAAAAGCATTATGTACGATGTACACGGTATCGATAGTTAGAACTTGATGTACATGGTATCGATAGTTAGAACTTGATGTACATGGTATCGATAGTTAGAACTTGATGTACATGGTATCGATA